CGGACAGCCCCTCCAATGCGAATTATTCCTTGGTAGAAACTGCAAATTTCCTTTTCTCTCTCTCCCCCACTCGCATTGATATCATTGGTCGTGCCGACTGAACCTGTCAAGTTGTCACCCTGTGATATAAAAAACACACAGAAATACTTAAAACTAAACCCTCCTGAACGAAAGTCCATTCTGCCAGCTTATTTTGTGCGAACTGGACACAAAAGCTAATTTCACGCCGCCTATCAATAAATCCTATCTTGGGCACCTAACATGGAGGGCGGGAGGACAGCACCTTACAAACTAATAAGAACATATTGCATACACAGGGTTGCCAACTTGACCTTAACCTAAGCCCTGAGTCATGGCGGCTACCGCATCAAATACGGAGTTGCCTGGCACGGTGACCAGCCTGGGGCCGGACTGACATGGTAAGACCAAGCCGATGCTATGGCGTACCCCAGTGGTTCTCAAATTTTTTACCTCTGAGCCCCCCCTGAGAAGAGAAAATACTCTCAGGCCCCCAGCCTGTTTTTTTTGTCAAAATAGAAGTCATGGTATGTTTGACGTTTCCTTCAATTTATTTTGTGTTTTTCTACATACTATTTAGCAGTTTTCTTTCTCAAATATATCTGTGAGATAAGCCATTTTCAATAAAAAAACCCTTGTTGCTGAAACTGTCTTCCAGTGAGTGATTTTCCCCATTTAAAAAACAGAACACCTCATGCCTCAGCTTAAACATTCTCTTTAATACCTTGCCTCTTGAAAGTCATCGAGCATCACTAAAAAACAACAGAGCAGTCGGCACCCATTTCCTCACACAGCATTTTAAAAAGTCTAGACTTCAGAGGATTTCAGAGGATGCGGCTGCTGCCGAACTATCAACGCTGTCTCTGGCATACGCGTTTTATAATTGCCGGTAAAGAGAATAATTATTAGTTATTTTGAAATTCATGATAATTAAAGCCTGTACTCATCAAAAGTTTTTCTATATGTATTTTTATTTTTTGTTACTTTTCTAATTGATTTATGGCAGTTTTAATTTTTATCTGTAGGAAAGTATGCTGCGCCCCCC